AATCAAATATTTCGAAGAAAATTTCATTTGATAAATCTTCGAAATGGATATTGAAATCCATTTGTGCAGGTAATAAGAATAAATAATGATAAAAATTATCAGTTAGTTTAGTTGTCTGTAAAGATTGTATGAAATGGTTGAGTATTTATAGAGAATATTTTATATACTTCATCATAAACAGTCTATTAGCAATATTGACGACAATAAGAAAATGAAAAATGATGTTGACTCTTGATTCTATTGTAATATTTGAAAGAAAAGTAATAAAATATGTTTGACGATATCAATTCGTCGAATTATTTTCTATTGACATAATTTTTGTCGATATTGTATTCTTAAAGAGGAGAAGCGACAAAGAAAAAGACGACTGTATTTCTTTCGATAGAAAATGTTATCCAATCAGATCATAAATGGTAAACATGTTGCATCATCATCATATAATGAAAAAAAAAATGAATTGGAAAAGTGAACTAATGTTCATATTGAATGACGATTAATCACACTCTTAACTGAAACGTTATGTGATATATGTTTGATTCAATGAATTTCGATTTAAATAATTGAAGAAGGTTATTGCTGTTATTAACAATTTTATATAATTATAATTAAAAAAGAGAAAATGATTTCCAATGATACCATTTTACGTTTGTTTTAATATTAGTTGAATTTTAGATGTCAACGACATTCAAATTTGCATCTTGAGTATTCTCAGATAAGACAAGAAATTGATTGGTTTTATTATCGAAATGTTGGTTAGACGAGTATTATTTTTAATCAAATCAGTCTATTGAATAATTACGTGAATTATCAAGTCATCTAGTTAAAAATCATGAAAATATTCGTGAAGGTTTTGCTTTTCGTCTGACAGATTTTATTATTCGTCTTTCTAGAATTATTGCCAGTATAATATTTTCTTTTTATGTTGGTTAGAAATAAACACTTATCTTTCTTTCAATATCACCATTAATTGTTCTTTCATTTAATCATTTAATTGAAGTAAAGAATTATTTTGTTAAATAATAACGTATTTTTATTTTTATTATTTAAGGTTATTATTAAATATACAATTTAAGAGTTACCAGCATATAATACAGCTAATTATATTGCACAACAAGTTTTAGTTCCAATACGAACAGTAATACCATTTGGTGAACAAGATAAAGACACTGAAGAGTAGAAATTTAAAAGAATTTATTTTTATTGAAATTAAAAATCTATAGATATCGAAAGAATTTATTTGATGGTAAACGTGTTAGTATTGAAAAAGGTTTTATATTAGAAATAACTCGAGCTATAGTTAATATTGTTCTTTATAGTGGTAGGTATTTCAATTATTTGTTTGGGATGGACCATTATTAATTCGAAATGAATGTCAAAATTCTAGATCTGCTCATTGGATGGTTGTATGTGTTTATTTAATTTCAAATAATTTTTATTTAAATTTGTTTATTTTCTATTTCGATATTTGTTTCTCGTTGAACATCAATAGTTTCATTATCTCGTTTAATACCAATTTTACAATGATTTGCTGAAGCATCTGATGGATATGTATTTGATATAAATAAGAGAGAAAAAAAGAAATATATTTCGAAATGATGGTGAAATTTCATCGAATTTTATTGTTTATACTGAATTTAAAAATGTTTATTTTACCTATCGATCACGAAAAGAATTATCTCTAGAAAAATATTATCTTTTTATTTGAATTTTTTTCTAAATAGATTCTCAATGGTTTAAGTGTTGAAATTTCTTCAGGAAAAGTTGTAGCACTTTGTGGACCATCTGCTTATGGAAAAAGTATAACAATTCAATTGATTCAAACGTTTTATGATTCAGATAAAGGTCGAATTTTACTTGATTAAAAAGATATAAAAACACTAAATGTAACTTGGCTACGTTCACATATTGGAATTGTTAGTCAACAACCTGTTCTTTTCACTGAATCAATTGAAGAAAATATTCGTTTTGAAAAACGAAATGCAACTGATGATGAAGTTCAATCTGCTGTCAAAATGTCTAATGGATTATTGTTGGTGTTTTGACCTTTTGAGAAGCAACCATAAGTAATTGACGAAGACGTGGAACACCTAATGTTACATTCATTTCACCACGACCAGCAAAATGAAAAGGTTAAAAAGAGAAAAATTTGTCAAATAGAATTATTATTGATTGTTAAAAATAAAGAAAAATAGTGAAGAAATTTGATATCTCCGGTCTAGTTCAAAGAACATGAAATTTTCCGAATATTAATTCGTTTTCAAATAGAAGATCGAATTTTCACATTTTTCTATTTTTTAGTAAAATTCAACTAGTGGTTTATAGAAAAAAGAATAGATTCTATTGAATTTCAAGAACCATAGAATCTATCAGAATTGAATGAAATTAGACCATAAAAACAAATGGGAGCTAAGATTACATAGAAAAATGAAATCTAATCTACTCAAGTTCCGCTGGAATCTATTGAGCTCCGACAGATTCTTTTATTGCTGAAATTTAATAGGATTTGTCAAGATGCACATTTTCTTCTTTTATTTCAAATCATAGTGGAATTCATTGACTGATTCTGTATTTGTTGGATTCCAATAGATCGTCATAGGTTTTCAATGAGCTTTAGCGCGCTCGAATACATCTCTTCTAAGACTCTTGATTTATTTACTTTGATTTACATATAAATCGAACTTATTAGACATGTT